GATAAGTATTGTTCGACTCCTTCATAGCACTCTTATCCATAACTATTCCATATTATAGGTTTGACCAATCCGATTCCTTCAGTAGTAAATGTCTGATAGGGAGGGCCTAGCCCTAAGGGTTGTTTGCACAGAAAGGGATGACAAATTTGTATAATATTTAGGGCACTTCTAGTAAAATTGATGTATAGCATAGAACATGGTGGGGTGGGGTGATTGCTTATTTACTCTTGCTGGAAGGTCATCTCACCTTTGGTGCTGGACTACAATTAGTATTTCAGTTCATGCTCTCTAGGGAATCTTTGTCTCTTTGGTGTGGGGAAATCCGGTGGGGATGGCAAAGGAATTATTATTTTTCCCATTCCAGACAAATAGGACAATGAGTTGCTTTTAAAGTAAGGTTGTTGATGTGATGAAAGGGCTAGAGGATACTGTTTCTATTTTTATTTTTTAAATGTATAGTTGCTTTTGGAGTGCTGGGAGGTGGTCCGTGAGGAGGTGATGGGCTCTTTTCACGCCTTCCGTGTTCAGGGTTCTTTTGAGAAGAGCTTGAATGCCACTTTTCTTGCTCTTATTCCGAAGAAGGGTGAAGCGATGGATGTTAGGGATTTTCGCCCTATCAGTTTGGTAGGCTGTTTTTTCAAGGTGATTGCGAAAGTCTTAGCCTCTAGGTTGAGGAAGGTTATGGATGGCGTCATTTCTGATTCTCAGAATGCCTTTGTGGGAGGTCGTCAGATTCTGGATTCAGTTCTTATTGTTAGTGAATGTGTGGACTTCCGTTTGAGTTGTGGGTTTCCGGGTGTTTTATGTAAGCTGGATATTGAGAAGGCGTATGATCATGTTACTTGGAGCTTCCTCCTCTACTTATTTGAGAGGATGTGTTTTGGCGGGCGTTGGAGGAGATGGATTCTTTTCTGTATCTCTAATGCTTGATTCTCTGTCATTGTGAATGGAGCTCCGACATGTTTTTTCTCTTCTTCGAGGGGCTTGAGATAAGAGGATCCGCTTTCTTCATTCTTGCTCTTTTTTGCGATGGAGGCTTTTAGCAGATTGCTAAAGAAGGCTGTGGAGTTGGGTTTTTTGAGAGGCTTTTAGGTGGGCAGGGATGTTGCTAACCAACTGGAGATTTTCCACTAGATGTTTGCGGATGATACTTTAGTGCTTTGTGATGCTAATGCGTCCCAGTTGAGATATTTGAGATGCGTCTTGATTTGGTTCCAAGGTGTCTCTGGTCTTAAGGTGAATGTTGGTAATAGCGTCCTTGTGCCTGTTGGGGATGTCCCTGAGATTGAGATGTTTGCTCAGATTCTTGGATGTCGCACTGGCTCTTTTCCCATTTCTTATTTAGGGTTGCCTTTGGGAACCCCTTCGAGATGTGGAGGGAGTTGGGATCCAGTTGTGGATAGATTTGAGAGGATGCTAGCGGGTTGGAAAAAGCAGTACCTCTCAAAGGGGGGTCGAGTTACTCTGATTAAGAGCATCTTTTCTAGCCTTCCCACTTATTTCTTTTCTCTTTTTCAGATTCCTTCTTCTTCAGTGGCTGAGAGAATTGAAAGATTGCAGCGCAACTTTCTTTTTTTGGGGGGGGGGGGGGGGGAAGGAGAGGAGTTCAAGTATCATCTGGTTCGGTGGGAGCATGTGTGCCGTCCGATTCGGTGTGGAGGTTTAGGGTTAAAGAGGTTGTTACTTTTCAATAAGGCTCTCCTTGGAAAATGATTATGGAGGTTTGGGATTGAGAGGAATTGGCTTTGGAGGAGAGTTATTGCAAGCAAGTTTGGAGAGAGTAGTGGTGGGTGGCGCTCTGCTGAGATTCGTGGTCTTAGGGGGGTGGGGATATCATAGTTGTTAAAGGCGCCGGAGGCGCAAGGCGCCTCCAGATGCCATGTTGTCGCCTCTATGCACTTAAGGCGACTCTCTTAATAAAGACATGCGCCTTTCCGACCAAGGTACCGGGCTACAGGCGTTGGAAAGGCGCGCCTAAGGTAAAAAGTTGTTTTTTACTTTTTTTTTTTTTTATATTTTTTTTATTGTTTGTTTAAAAAGTTCTTTTTGTTTATTATTATTATTATTATTTCTATTCTGATATTTTATTAGTTTATATAATACAAAAGCCTACATAAAAAACATAAAAAAGCAAAGGAAAGAAGAGTAGAAGAGTAGAAGACAGAGGCAGCGAAGGCACCAAAAAGCATCGAATCTCTCGGATATGCGTCGGATCAGGTAAGTTCTTCTCTCTCTTCTTCTTTTTCTCTTCTTCTTCTTTCCTTCTTCTCTTCTTCTTCTCTCCTCCTTCTCTTCTCGGATTTTTTTTTTCCTTCTTTTCTTCTTCTTCTTCTCTCTCTTCTTTTCTTCTTCTCTCGAGTCTCGGCTCTCTTGAGAGTGGAGTCTGGCAGAATTTTTATTTTTATTTTTCTTCTTCTTTTTATTTATTTATTTTATTTTATTGTATTTTTCTCAAGTTTTATTCTTCTTTTTCTTCTTCTTTTTATTTTTTTTATTTATTTGAGTGGAGTTTGGCAGATTGTTTTTTTATTTTTCTTCTTCTTTTTATTTTTTTTATTTATTTGAGTGGAGTCTGGCAGATTGTTTATTTATTTATTTATTTTTTTCTCAAGTTTTTTTCTTCTTTTTATTGTTTTTATTTCTCTGTGTGAGGTACTTTATATTTACCTGCTTGGATTAGATTAGTACAATGTATTGCTCTCACTATTTTTTTATTTATTTGTGTGATCCTGTTTTATTTATTTGTGTGATCAGCGATCCTGTTTTATATGTGTAAATTGTGTGAACAGCTGTAGCCTGCATTTGTTCCATTCTAATATGTTATTGGTTTGAGAAAATGCATTTTTATCTAATTTTGTTAAAATTAAATAATTAGTGAAGTGTACTCTAAATTATAGAAGACAATCTCAAATTGTAAATAGCTCATTTACTGTTAAAATGAAATAATTTTGTTAAAATGAAATAATTATTCATGTAAGATGTACTGTTATATTATTTTCATATAATTAGGTTCTATTATTGAAAGAATGTTTATGTTAATATGTTTGATTATTCACTGTTGAACTCAAGTACTTGATTTACTTGGTTTTGGCATCTTTATGTTGAATATTTAACTTAAGTAATTCATTTAGTTGACTTTTACATTTTTATATACTATTGCATCTTTAATACTTTATTGGGTGGATTTTTATTTTTTTTTATTTTTTTTCAACGTGCGCTTTGCTTCAGTCAGGCGCGCGCCTCGCCTTGCGCCTCAGGCTCCAGGAGACATTTGCGCTTTTGTGCGCCTTGAGCCTTTAACAACTATGGGGGATATGGACTTTCATTCGGAGGGGGTGGGATGATTTTTGCAAGCATGTTCACTTTCGGATCAAGGATGGTAGGAGGATCAGATTTTGGGAGCATCTCTGGTGAGGGGAGCTTCCTCTTGCTCTCGCTTTCCCACAGCTCTGTAGGATCGCTTCTCACATACAGGACATGGTGGTTAACTGTTATCGCCTTGATAACGGGAGACTGACTTGGGATGTTCAGTTTAGGAGGCACTTTCAGGACTGGGAGATTGAGGATGTTACTCGTTTTTTTGGAAGTTCTGTATCGCCAGGTGATCACAGTTAGGGATTCGGATTGTTGGCTTTGGGTTCCTAACTCTCAGGGTCGTTTCGAGGTTAGGTCCTTTTTTAAATGCCTTTCGGTTGATTCTGGAGGCCCTTTCCCTTGGAAGTCTATTTGTCGATCTAAGGCCCCCCTTAGGTAGCCTTTTTCACTTGGACTTCCATCCTGGGCAAGATTTTAACCCAGGATAATTTGAGGAGGAGGAATTAGGTGGTGGTCAATCATTATTATATGTGCTTGTGTGATGAGGAGATAGTTGACCACCTTCTTTTGCATTGCAGCATGGCCAGAGACTGTTGGGATTTGATGCTTGGATTATTTGGGGTCCATTAGGTTATGCCTTGCTCCTCTAGAGGGTTGATTGAGGCTTGGTGAGGTGTCTCTGTTGGGGTTCCCATCCAGGAGGCTTGGAGGGCTATGTCTCTTTGTATTTGGTGGTGCATTTGGCTCGAGCGAAATAGGAGATATTTTGATGGAAAAATGAAATCTATTTCTACGCTTAAGTTCTCTATTATTTGCACTCTTTTTTGTTGGGTTTCAGGGAGAGATTATAGATCTATTGAGGAGATTATTGTATTTTTGGCCTCTTTGAAGGTTTAAGGCGCCTTGCGGCCCTTGTGTTTCCTTGGGTTCCGCTCCCCTTTTGAGCGTTTTTAATAAAATCTTACTTATCAAAAAAAATAAAAAATTATATTGGATAGGCATGGGACGAGATGGTGTTGTTAAGATTTACTTGGTCGCATTATGAATTTATGACAAACGTTTAGAGCAGGGCTACCTCTCTAAGTTTCTCTGAGACTCATCACAAAATGGGGCAGATTTTTTTGGCTTAAAAAGGTGCTCTTCTAATTGCAAGTTTTATGAGGGCATGTTACAAGAGTGCATAGTTGACTGGCTATTTATTTTGAGACATCTTATTTGGTGCAACATGAAATAGCATGAACCTAAAAGAAGTAGTATCTAGGCTGTGGGTGCTTGTTCTGGTACTTGAAGATTTTATTTTTATTTCAGTTGCAGTGCCTCTAGCAATTTGCTACTTGTCACCTATTTCACATTAAAATAAAGGATTGATTCTATAGATTCCTTTATTCTGTCATTCGGCAATATCCCTTAGTTAATGCAGCAAAACCTTATTAATTTTATTTATACTAATTGTTACTATTTTTCTTCTGTACTATTGTACTTGACTGTCCCTAAAGCTACTATGCATTTTATGACTGAGTTGCTTAAAGTTGTTATTTTGTTTAGTTATTGTATAATTTGTATTTGAAATTTTATTCAAGTATTGAGGAACAAATGGTTATGAACTACTCTCTGCTATCAGTAGATAACATTTACTCAGATGTTAATTACTTTTCTGCTTATCAAATGGTTACTTTCTCTTTCAGATGGACTATATTAATTCTTCAAATCCAAATTTTCTTGGTGGAAACAGAGCTGTGGAACTTGCTATGCAGCAAATCAGATCATCACAGGTATTTGCCACCACTTTGGTGGAATTGAATGTAAAGTTTTAAACTGAGATTATATTTTGATTCTGTTCTTTACTCAAGCATCACGGGGCTCAATTTCTTCCTCTTCTTCTTCTTTTCCCTCCCTTTTATATGATTTAGGATGGTAATAATGTTGAAAGGGTACCCATGTTAGAGGTGGGGCAGAGATATCGAGCGGTTGTGGCTAACTCAGTCGTGAACCAGGTATTATATATATATATATATATATATATTTGTTTTTAGAATGACAGAGAATGTTGTCAAATATCTATAATTAACAAAAAACGAAAAGAATTGACCAAATTTACCCGATGTAATCAAGAAAGCTGTATTGAAAAGAATAAGAAACGAAAAAAAAAAAAAAAACCAGCACTACAAGAATACAAACTAATAACATTAAAATTCCTAAAATGCTTCAAGATTAAGGTGCTTCTCTTATTAGGAAGCCATATTTTTAATAAGGTGATATTTAGATCTTGGTGGGGCAGAACCCCCATGCCAAGATACCTAATGTGTCTTGCATTTGGTACAGGTCCCTATATGGGCCTTTGAACTATTCCATGCCTGGTTGAAAAAAGTGGAAGGCGACTCCACAGCCTAATTTACTTTATTAGTGTTTGAGCAGCTGGTTTAACTTGTAAGGTTCATTCATGAGATTGCAGCGTTGTTAAAGGCACGCCTGGGCTCGAGGCTCAGGTCTAGCGCCTGTTGTCATCCCAGGCTCACTGATGTTTACTAGGCGCGCCTTGGTTGCATCTCGTCCGGTCGCTGTTTTTTATAAAAAAAACTATGATTATTCTATTTCTTAAGCCAAAAATGGTACTTTTGGCAACTTAATAAACAAATAAGAAAGCCCAAGCGTTCGAGAGAAGAAACTTTTGTTCAAAAGAATAAACAAATAAGAAAGCCCAAGAGTCAAAGCGTCAACCAAACAGAGAAAGAGTTAGACGTGAGACGAACGACGAAGCCCTAGTTGCAGAGATGAACGACGAAGCCACGTCAGTCTTTCCTCTTCTTCTCCTCTACTTCTCTCTCTCTTCTTCTCCACTCCTCTCTTCTTAGCTTTGTTTACATCTCTATCTTCGTCTAGTTCTCCTCTCTTAGTCTTTTTTTTTTTTTTTTTGGTGGGGCTCGGTTTTTTCTCCTTTTTTTCTTTAACACTGTCTCTCTCTTCTCGTCTACTTCTCTCTCTTCATCTACTTCTTCCGTCTCTGCGTCTTTTTTTTTGGCTCTGTTTTTTCTTTTCTTTTCTTGTTAGCCTTTTTTTTTTTTGACAGATTTATTTCTTTTTGGCTCTGTTTTGCCATTCAAAAAAACAAATTCTGCTTTGCCTTTCAAGAAAACAAATTTGTGCTTTGTTTTATGGTTGTTGGATGCTTGTTTAGTTGATGTATTTACTTTTTTATATTTGATATTAGTTTTTAGAATATTGATATGACTTATGAGATATGAATGTTTAGTTTAAATTTCAATTGTGCGCCTCACTTCACTTAGGCGCGTGCCTCGCCCTGCGTCTCGCGCCTAGGCTCCAAAGGACCTCTAGCGCCTTGCGCCTTGGGCCTTTAATAACACTGCGAGATTGTGAATTGAACTCCGTAGGGATGAGAATAGAGTTTTGTCAACCAGACCCAAGGCTGTAGCTCTTCCTGTAAAATGGCTGAGCTGAGGCTGAAGGATGATCTAGAAATGGGCACAGTTGAGCTCATGATTTCTAATTTGGGCTGAGCATCAACAACTAAGCCTGGTTTAGTTCAGCCCGATTTATGATCTAATAGTCTCAGCCTTTATGGCTTTTTTTGAATTTTTATCCATCTGTTTTTTCCATTTTACGTACCACTTGACATTCAATTTAATTGTTCGTCAACATTGTCGGGATCGTTCTTTTTAAAATTTATCTTATATCTATTATTTGTATTAGTAAGATCAGGTATAACTGGACTGCACTTGAGTAAATCGTTAAACCTTTAACCTACATTTTGCTAACCGTCATTCTCCATTTTTTTTTCCAAATGCTCAGTGCTGCGAACTCTGAACGTATCATGCTATCATTTTCATTGCAAAAAGAAGCTATATACACACTTTTTGTCTTATTGGATTCTGTTATTATATACTATTTCCAGCATTGACTCTTGAGCAGAATATTGAAATGAACACAGGAGTACCTGATTTCTTCTGTGGTTGCCTCAGCATGCATTGCAATAATTTATTGTTTGTAATTGTTTTACCTTGTCTATTTAATACCAAATATGTAGTAAAAATGCCTGATGTTATCTACGTGGCTAAATACAGCCTGAAGACATGCATGACTAAGAGCTGGATAGTATTTAGCTTAGGCTATTTATTGGAAGTGAAGTGAACATGCTTGTGTATTGACATCTTACTATGAATTTGGAATACTTTCATTGATCATTTACCTTTCAAGTGGCTTATTTTATTTATTGCATCCTTTGTCTGTGGCAGGGTACTCGTCCTCAGTCAAATAATGAGAGACCTGTGTCAGCTGGTAAACTCTTGTTTCATGGCAAACTTTTCGTTTATACTTTTTTGTTCACTTTCAAGTAAAAGCATCATGAATTATTATTATTAACTGTTCGGGCACGGAAAAAAACTTGGGGCTGAAGTTTTATGGTAGAAAAAAGTACGGAAAAAAAAGAAAAAAAAAAAAAGAAGAAGATCATAATGAGGCCTTATTAAACTGATATGGATAAATTTTCAATCTGTTGATTGTTGCAACAACATGAGTCTCTATAGTGGCGTTGACTGTTGAGTTGGTGCACATTGTCACATTCTTGTTTAGCATACCACAAAATCTGATTACGTGTAACATTGTACAAAGCTAACATATTTCACAAAGGGCCCAGCATAAATCAGTTTTTTGGGATGGTTTTGTGGCTCTGGGCTGGTTCCTGACGCCTATTTGAGTCCACTTACTTTTGTGGAGTTCTTGTCATGTTCACGGGAACTTGTGTCACTCTTGATTACTTTAAGTAGCTTCAACGCCATATTCACTACTTGTTGGGGCTTGGCGGGGTGAGAGGAGGGTGGTATTTGATGGAGTGTAGTTTCAAATAATACAATGTAACCAAGGGAAAAATGTGACCATTTTCTCATCTTTGGTGAGGAAGAATCTGTCTGACTCTGTATACGAGTTGAGTTGTAAGATTGAGAAATAAAACTATGATATAAGATTCATTTATGTCCTTTTTCTCTCTTTTTCATCTTTATCTTTTTATTTATAGTTTCAACCTGACATAGCATTTTTCTCGTTCTGGCTGCTGCATTACTTTGCATTCTAGGTGTTCATATTCAAACATGATTTACATAAAAACTATTTCTTGATAAGTATTCCTCCCTCAATACCCTAAGACATAAGAATGTGAGGCTACCTAAAATTTTAAGCAAAAAACTGATCTTCTGTGTGTCTGAGCATAACAATATGATAAAAGGCATGGCATCTAAAAGGCGAATTTTGTAGGTGTTAGTCTACGAAGATAGAGATGACTGCAAGTTCCTTCTTTTGTATGATGACAAATTTATGAATATACATGGCTAACTTGTTGTTCTCACTTTTAGGTACACACTAAGCAAACATGTATAAATTGAAAGATTGGTCATTCACACTAATCTCATATAGATTTGGTCACTCTTGGAAGGAAAATAAAAAAAAAAATTTACTCTATCAGTACAACATATAGAATTATTATGATTATATATCCAGAATGATAATATCTAGAAAATGCTTAATTAAAGTATATCAAAAAAATTCAAAACTTTCAAGGGGGAACCCTGATTGCCTAGACAATATGATTAAAAACTACCCTTCCAAAAAGAAAGTAGTGTCTAGATTAATATTTCTTCGAAAGGGCCTTTTTTTTTTTTTTTTTCTTTTTTTCGTGCCCTCTCTCCACTCTCTATGTTTTTTTTTTTGGCAGACATGGATTTCCCCTGTATTTGTAGGAATGATTTTATATTTGGTGTTAGCAATAAAATAAGAGAAAATAAAATATGATTTGGATCTTTGACCCATTGCATCCCCTTTCACACAACTAAAACAAAGCGCGCGCATGCCCTAGAGAGAGAGATTATCACTCCACATAAACCAATATTTTACATGAGCATTCTTTGGTGCTTGACATTTAGCAGGTAATTCATCCACGCGGACATGGGGTATCCCATCTATATTTGGTGCTCGAGCATCATCATCTGGAGAAAGTTCAGCTAACAGATCTCTTTTAGAAACTATTCATGATATTGAGCAGATCCCTTCTATGATCCAATTGAGAGAGGTAATTGTATTATTCTTCATATCTAAGTTATGGTTTGTCTTCTCTATTACTGATTCAAATCTTCCGTTTGTGTGTGTGTTTTGGCGGTTATTTTAGCCTCCTTACACCTTAAGGCCACAAGAAGCAAAAACAGAGCAAGAAGCAGTGGAAATATTGGTAACCAAATTGCTCTTGAGATCTTACTATGACATTGTCAGAAAGAATGTTCAAGACTTGGTTCCAAAGGCTATAATGCACTTTCTGGTATGTTAATTGACTGTTCATTCTCTTCAGTCATTTGAATCTTATATTCAGGAGGTGCACGTCCTAACTAGTCTTAGATTTATTTTTTGTGCTTTTTTCTCCTTCCATTATTTACATGCTGGTTCTGTTCCTCTCAATGATGGGTTACTTTTAATTTACTCCAGGTCAATCATACGAAAAGGGACCTCCTTAGCACCTTTATACAAAAACTGTACAGGTATGTAGCAAATGTATGTAGGCATATAGGTAAAGCTGGAAATTAACTTTTTTTCCCCCCTTTCCAGCAAGAAAAAAAATTAAATAAATTCATTGTAAATATTTCTTGAATTTCCTAAAATTCTATAGTATATTGTTGGGTGTTTTAATTAGTTTATGGAAATCTACTCTATATGGAAACCCTAGAGTTTGATTTTGCTATATTATTGGAATATGTCAATTTGTTTTGTTCCAAGATAGAATGTGATAAATTATGCTTAATGTGTTTGGTTTAACCATAAAGTTGTGTCTTCAATTTTGAGTTAATAATGTACATCTATATAATCAGATAGAGCAAAATGGAAAAATAAGATTCATGTGACCTACCCCAAGTAGTTGGGAAAAGGCTTTGTTGAGATGAGGTGTCTTTCAAACGTGTGGGGTGCGGAAGTTTGCAGAAGACTGAGTTAATATTGTCATTAAGTGATTGCAATATCTAGAAAGTTCAAATGTTGTTACAGCCACCATTTAGACTAGTTTCCAGAGAGAGTTGTAAATGGACCTGGAAGCTTATGCTCAGCCCGCAAGCTTACTTGTCTGTTTCACAAATAAAGCTAGATAGGTGTTGACGTCAAGCAACACTATGCTGGGTTGATGGCTCATGAATGGTGATCATTTTGAATTTTATCACTTGCCAGAAGTAATCTGCTAATGGAAAATTTTATTTTCATGATAAAAGACTGAATGTATGAGGAAGTCGTGAACACTACCCCATCTAACAGTTGTTCATATAATATGCTTAATTTGACTACTAAAAGGACCTTCTCCCTTCATTAGGGAGTCCAATTTGCAGTAGGCCAGAAGTGTTTTAGGTTAAATTCCTTTTTGTCTGAAATATGGTCAAATACCCACATCTGCATGGTGCAAAGGTTACATAGTCGTGATGCTCAATTTATATTTTTTTCCTGGCTGTTCTGACTGAGTGGAGCTCCATCTTCTTAGGACAAAATTTTAACGGACTCAAGTTGAGCCTAGATCAAGCAGGCATAGGTATTCAGCTTGACTTGGTTCATTTGAAGTCTTATTTTCATATCACCTTACTAATCAGAATTACTCAAATTGAACTGGCTGGGATGAGTCTGATGTCCTGAATCGTAGAGTTTTGCTGTGGTATTTATTTGGTTGTTAGGTAAAGATACAGTAATTTTCTGGAACCATATAGTATGGCTGTTTCTATGGAAACTATTCTAAGTAAAGCACAATCCTCCTCCCCCTCCCTCTCCCCACACAACAATAAGTAAAATTGGACTGACAGTAAAGTCCTCTGCGCGCTGCATTAACTTCATGGTTGAACACTTACTAGCATTTGTTCTTCGGTGTTCATGCAGAGAGAACCTTTTCCAAGAGATGTTGAAGGAGCAGGATGAGGTTGCCATGAAAAGGAAACGGACCCATGAAATGTTCCATGTACTGCAACAAGCTGTCCAGGTTAGTTGAAAACTTTTAGGCAGGTCAGAAGCATTCATTCGTTAACATTAGTATGCGTATGGTACCATAGAAACATATGCTCCCTATTTAAAAATATTTTAATTTAATACAGAAATATGAAATCTTTGTTGTTTGTTACAGACACTTGATGGTGTTGAAGCTGATGTTTCTTCTGGAAGTCCAAGCCTGGGTACTGATATTACCACTGGATTGCCGAGGATCCCCGACCCTCTCCACTCAGCATTGAATGGTGAGAACAGGTCACATTCATCATTCACCAATGATAGAGTTATGAGATAATTTTGTTCGAGACATCAGTCATTACTCATGGTTTTTTAGTCAGGTGGTGGGCCTTGATGTTGTGTATTTTCTTAATTATAGAAGAATCCTTGAGATGTATCCCCAATAATATGGTTTTATAGTGCTTTAAATTCCAGAGCACAGCTAGTGTTTGGAAGGTTTTTCCACTGGAATTTGTATTACTCATATGAGCTTGAGGTTTTCTTCTTCTTTAATCTTATGGGCAAAGGTGAAGGGTAGCAAACATGTTGCATTTGACAGGTGCTCGGTTCCGGTGTTATTTTTTACAAGTTTTTTTGTATATATTTTTTCTCTGTATATATAGATAATAAATATGCAAGGACACCCCTCGATTTTTGGCAGCCTTGCAATTGTGCAGATGTGTATGATTTTTCAATGATTTCAGAGCAAGAATTGATTGATTGTCACTACTATGTTCATTAAAGCTTCGTGAGCATAAATTGTCCGTCTGATTGATAATATTCTTGATAATTCGGATTAGCATTGAAACCATGAGATGTTTGCCTGTCTTTTTGTTATTTTTTTATTTTTCCTTCCTTGACAAGACCTTTGGCTCGACTGATCTGAAATGGAGGGGCACTGATCATTCTGGCATTAGATGGCACAGGAAAAATCTGAGAGGGTGGCTGGTCTCCATGGGGATGAGTCAAGGCTCAAGGACAAATTCATGAGATGATCAACTCTTCTTTTAATGTGATTCTCCTAATGTAACGTTTGTTGTTGTGGAATTGAATGTCTCCAACCATTCCTTTATTTGGTATGCAATTTAAAATGAGAATACTCATTGCATTGGAATGAAAATCTATTTCACAACTAAACCTGTGGAATGACCCATTGCATTCCCAAGTATTTGTTTTTTTAAAAAAGCAAGCTCCCAAAACCCCTCGTGCTCCAAGTCTGAAAGCCACCATCAACACCTTCCACCCCAACCACCATTGACTTTCACCATCACCGCCACCGCCACCATTGTTGCCACCTTCAACCAACACACCGCCGCCACCTCCACTGCCTTTAGCCATTGCCACTGCCACCTCCACTGTGGCTACCACCACCGTCGCCTTCCACCGCTACTACTTCCAACGCCTTCCACCACCATCATTGCCACCACTGCCACCATTACCACCACCACTACTGCCTTCACCACCATGCGACCTTCCACCACCACTGCCACCTTCCACCACTTCCACCACCATCATTGCCGCCACCGTACTTGCCTTACACCCCCATCACACCGCCTCCACCTCCACTGCTACCGCAACCAAACTTCCACCACTGACTTCCATCACCACCGCCACCTCCACCTCTACCGCCACCACCACCAACTTCCTTCACCATCGCTGCCACCACCTCCACCGACTTCCATATCACCACCACCGCCGCAGTCGCCGCCATTGCCGCCACCACCGCCACCAGGGAATAGAAAAATTAATGTTGACCCTCCAAAATTTTCATTTGTAGTTACCTATCTATGGTAATTGAAGTTGGTTTGCTACGGATTTACTTGTAATCCTTTCAAAGTCTTTAATATTGCTTTTAAATTTTCAAATCTAATAATAAAAAAAGGTGTTGCAATTCTTTGCTGCAACAAAGAATGGTGGACAATTGACAACTTCATTTATCTCTTTTTATTTTTCTTGTATTATTTATAGAGATGCTCTAAAAAAATGTACATTAAAAATGCACTAAAAAAAATTTGTTACAATTATTTTCTTTTATTTAAAATTTAATTTTATATTACTACTTCGCCCCTAATCGAAAGTTTCTGGCTCCACCCCTGACCGTCATCGCCATCAACTTCTACCACTTTCCGCCACCACTGCTACCGCCACCTCCACCTCTACCGCGACCAACTTCTATCACCACCACTGCCGCCACCACCACTGACTTTCATCACCATTACCACCTTCCACTGCCGCCGCCGCCACCTTCACCTCTACCACTGCCGCCGCCACCTTCACCTCTACCACTACCGCCACCAACTTCCATCACCACCACCACCTTCCACCAACGCTGCTGCCACCTCCACCTCCATCGCTACAGACATCCGCCACCGCCACATCCATTGCCGTCTTCCACCATCGCCACACCCATTGCGGTATTCTACCACCACCACCACCACCACCACCACCACCACCACCACCGTCACCTCCATTACCTTCCACCACCACTGTCACCTCCATTACCTTCCACCACCACCTACATCACTGTCGTCTTCCACCACCACCACACCATTGCCACCGTTACTGCCTTCCACCATCATCACCTACACCATTGATGCCTTCCACCATTACCACCACCGCCACCACCGCTACCACTACTTTTTACCAACACCCTGCTGCCTTTCGCCACCACCACCTTCCAACACCACCACTTAGACCAGTAATGCTTTCTACCTACACCACCATCAACCATCGCCACCATTTCTTTTAAAAAAAAAATTATGGAAGAATGCTATTTTGTCAATTAAAATTATTTGTCACTAACAAGGATATTTTGGAGAATTCAATTTGAAACTCATTATTTTCTAAATTTTACATTAGTCAATTCTTATAGATTTCATATTTGCAATCAAACAATAAAATGAGAACGACCATTCCATTCCATTCCTGATAGCAGAAATGTAAACTGCTTTCCTGTTTTGTTTTTGGGTTAAAAGAATGTTATCTCAACCATAACAAACTCATTGGTTAATTAGCAATACAAATTATATAATATTCTACTCTCATGTTGTGGGTTTCTTGGGTGGCCAAACATCAAAAAATAAAATAAAATAAATAATAATAATAAGAAGAAAAACACAATAACAATAAAAATAAAATTGAAGCATTTGAAGAAACTTCAACAGTAAAATTTAACTCATCTCTGGACTCGAACATCTAATCATGACTTTTTTTTTTTTTTTTTTGAAGATTTAATAGGTTCATTTTTATTATTTTATTACATTTTTTATTTTATTTAAAAAGGATAATATTTAAAACTCTGGGTGCGAGCCTAGGCGGAGTGGCCGTTGGCTAATAGCAAATATATATATATATATATATATATATATATGTTGACATCAAAGATTTCATATAAGGACAATCTAGTTGTTTTGATGATTACAAACCATTAATGGTGTTTAAGGACTAATGTTTTCAAAAAATGACCTCAATTAAGCAATAAAGATCATTCTAAGTATTCCATTATTCAAGATCACATCAAGGAAAGTAATGGATACAAAGAAGACTTGAAGTTGCAGGGAACAAAATGCGTAGTCCATCCAAAGATAGCTTGTACAATAATGAACAAACAAGCAACTCAAAGAAAGGAAGAAAGCAAGAATACCTCAAAGCATATACGATTATGGACAAAGCATGAAAAAATGGGTAGATTGGATGGTGAGTGTTTAGGATTTAATGTCAAAGTATTTATGAATCCATTTGAAGTTAATTTCTATAGGATCATGCATATCATCATTATCATTCACGAGTTCCTATATCCATTAGTAATAGACTGAATTTCATCATATATATTTGACATATGAAGTCATTGCAAAAGCATGAGTTAGTTCAAACTTGCATAAGTTTTGAAAGAACTCAACACTTGAGCTAGAAATGCTAGGACCATGTATATTAATCATATGATCTATTTTCGTCTCTAGAAAGTATAGTCTAAGGCTTAAAACTTAATTACTCATTTATAAAGCCTTTATTACTATGACTTGGTAACGGACTTTAGGACCCTTATATGTGCCTCATAACAAACTGAGTTTTTGGCTCTTGGGTAACAATATATATAGTCCTAATTGGTACTCACACACCCCACCCCTTCTAAGAAATTATTTGTAATTAACAGGAATCCATCATAAGACATGATATTTCATAAGATACTAGGGCTCAAATCTTTCCCAACTAGGCAACCCTTTGGGGTTGATAGTACCAAATATTCAAATGAGAACTTTGAAGGGTGAAGAGAGGAAATGTTCCATGTGAACGATTATTATTCAAATATTCGCAGGACTACTTTCACATGATTTATGAATTGGCAAATGACGCTAGTCTGAAGTGTGTAAAAAATCAGAACCATTAAAATGATTTTCAATAACATGAGCTACATTGGAAAAGCTGAATGATTTAGCATAAACGTATCCATAATTCTACGATTCTTTCTACCTTAAAGTAATAACACAACAAACCATAAAATGTTCTCTTTTTCTAAATTCTCCCCCTCCCCCTTTTTTTTCATACAATTTTCCTTTTCTTTTTGTTTCACAATCTTCTGTGAATCCTTACGAAGTTTGTTGTATTCATTGCAATTGCAGTTGAGCACACATATATTCCTGCCAAGCATAAGGTGGTTGAAACCAAAAGAAGGGCCTTCCACTGCCTTCCAGACACTAGAATTGCCAATGCAGCGGATACAAGAGTGACAGCAGAAAGGGCTGTTTTCCATGCTTGAAAAGCTTTAACAACAGTTCTGCATCCCTTGCAATGGATTACATGCCTGAAATATCTGTTGGCAAGATTTGGTGCATGCATTGTTCCGATTCCTCCCTTGGCCGGCGAAGAAGCTGAAATGTTGGCCACTAAACCAGCCGGTGCATGTTCTAAAACAGCAGCCTCTTTAGGCAGTGAAATGGTGCTGTGCCCGAAATGATAGGGCATCCCATGCCCGACTTTGTCCATCCACTTCCTGTATTCGGCTACCCAAGTATCCGAGGACCTTATATTAAGGTACAACTCCTTTAAGGGAACTTTTTCTTTCAATAAAACTTCGTTTTGGGATGAGAGAAAACCCATATCTTGCTCAAAAACCTTACTTGCATTCTGATGGAAGTACCATTTTGGAAACACTTTCGCTAAGGGGGATCTTTTTGTACCTCCAAACCTCACTATAAGCATGGATTTTCCTTGTCCGGATGGTCTACAAAGGAAGAGGCCTGTAAAGTAGTCTTTCTTCCCATTCTTGTCAACAAGTTCACGGTTATTCTGTAGAACACATGGTGCTTCAAATCGTAAGAAGTTTGGCATGGATTGATCTTTTTCTCTGCCCCACCAACCAGCAAATCCCCGGTCTGTCCTTTCAGTGACTTTAAATAATAGTGGTTGGGCATCTTCCCTTTTTGCAGTCCAATCGGTTCTATCATGCGAGATGGGGATGTGCGCTGGGTCCATAAGATTCTCAAGAAGAATTGAGTGGTCATAAGGAAGTTCATGGGTTGTAGAAACATCTTGGAACCCTGGCCTGGCAAAGTTTTCAAACCAAGGCAGTTTGTTTGGATTTGGGGGGGTCTTGTGCGACATCCATACCCATACAACTCCTTGGGAGTCTCTCACTTCATATGTTTTAACACAAGCTGACCGAGGAATTTTAGCATCCGATGGCAACTGCGGAGAATATAATTGGGAAAGAAATTAATCAATATCATCCTTACTGAAAATATGAATACGTCAACAATTGCAAAAAGAAAAGAATCACAAGAACAAGGTGGTTGAAGACGAACCTGGGGTATCCTTACACACTTTCCCTCACCTTCAAATTGCCAACCATGGTACAGGCATTCCAGCCTTCCATCCACCAACTGGCCTTCAGAGAGTTTTGCTAACCTAAATGGTAAGGGGGTTGAAAATTTCAAAAGCTGCTCCATTTATGTGAACACTACAGCCACACTATCCAATAGTTCATATGCTTGAATTCATAGTCATATAGTTATCTCAGCAGAGAAGTGGTTTCCAGACCATATTGTTTAAGTTGTCTTAAAATTGAATATATGAAGTCTTTAGCATGAAAATTTTCAAGGTTCTTGCAGTTTGAGCAAAATTTTCTGAGTTCAAATCACAGTAGATGGAATAGTTACGAAAAAAATTCATTCCAATTATATTTATGTGCAAATTGTTTATTAATGTGCCAGTTCAAAACTCCAAATGTTGATGAATATGATAATTTAATTGTTTACATAACAAAGTACCCTCCTGACATTCATGGGGAAAAAATTACCCCCACCTACTGTGTTAGGGTTACTATAAACATATATTACAGGAGAAAATTAAGTTTCCTTATGGTAATATAGCATAGCATAAATTGGAGTTTACAAACCAACAACTATCCAATGTGACACCGCTACCTTAATCATGACACTTTCGGTGGTTATAAAAAACAAAGGAACACAAAGAACTCACTATTTAACCATTAGTTCATATAACCATTAGCATACAAACCAATCATTTGTAATTTAACGTACATAACCATTATGTAACAGTCATTCAAATAACTCGACTTACATAGTTCATTAGTTCATATGCAAACCAATGGCTATATTTTACACAACCTTTATATTACCCCAAGCCAATTGTTTTGCACCACTGTATGACCATTAGTTTACAAACCAGTATATATACAGCATGGTTTACGTAATAATATAGCATAAATTGACTTGCATTTTCTAGAGAAGGAAAAGGAAAAAGAATGTGTGAAATGGGATTACAAAACCAATTGTTTTATAGCATAAAGTTCTGCAAGATTTATTGGCATTCTTTGTTTTATTTATCATCGAGATTAATTTAAAGTCTTAAATTAAGTGAATTGAGTAATCATAATACATTGGAAAATTTCAAGGTTTATGAACAGATTCAAGGTGAGAGGCTAAAGCAAATATCAGACTTTTTACTCCAATGAATAGTATGTGCTGTCCGAACAATGTCAGGCTGCATCCTCACATTTTTCCCCCCTAAATGAAGTTGTAGATTTTATACGAAAAAGAAAATAATGTACAAGAGCATGAATCAAGGGCATACCTTGCTGTACATTCAAAGAGAACTAAAAAAGATAGGAGCAGAACCTACCAACAAACAAACAAAAGAAAGGAACATGAAAATGAATCTCAAATGCTATAATCCAGAGAACACTAGGCTTCAGGTATAAGGAAACCCCTGCAAAATCTAACACCTCCCATAAAATGATTATTGCACACCAGACTTCAATGTCAGACTTCATCCTTGCAATTTAGTTTTGTTTGCTTGAAAGGCAAGAAACTAAGAGAAGCAAAAAAAAATCTGTCTTTCCCATGAACCGCTTCTAATTGACATTCACTCACCCTAAACTAACAGACAGGCTGGTTTTGTGGTGAAAGGTGCAACTTACTGAGGACACCTCTGATTGATTAGTCCTTGAATTTAACTGATCTTGATATAATCTAATGAAGCTTCTGTATGGTGAGTTGTCAGCAAAAGTTTCAAGTGTGGTCTCCCATCATTCTTCATCTCCTACTTTTGAACTACAGTCCTTTATTGACCATTACTACCTCTGTCTCTCTTTTTGAAAATGAAGCCACTTCATAAATTTTATTAATTTAGTATACAAGACAAAACTGAGTTGATATGCAAGCTTATGAAAATTTAATATTTCCTCTGAAGACCTAAAAAATTATAGTAAGTCATAGTGGTTTTTTTATTATCTGCAATTTAAGATGGAGATTTGTTGGAATTTGTGTCTCGTCTCAAATTCCTATTCTAATTATATTTCTATTTTAGAGTTGTATTACATTTGGTAATTTCTTGTTTGACAAGTTTTGACCTCTAAGAAATTGTAATCTTTGTCTAACAAGGAATTGGGTTTCGAACTCTATAAATAGGTACATATGTTGTGGGTTGAGAATTATGAGATTTAGAAAAATGTAGTCTCATGAGGGAGTTGATGGGTAGAGGTAGTATGCGGGTTGGTAGAGTAGGAAAATACCGGTGACGGGTGGATTGGTGGTATTGGTACTAATATCTCTATGAATCATATGGAATCTATTCTCATCCATGGACGTAGGATGGTTTTGGTTAAACCATGTATATCTTGTGTTTGTGTGTGATTGCTTTGTTGGCTTTTATTGGATCCTCATTGTTCGCGTGCTTCCGCTGCCCAACAAATTGGTATCCAAGCCAAAGGTGAAGAAGATTCAGAAAACACAATAAGTCTCAACATATGATGTAAAGGGCTTCAGTTGTAGGTGGAGTCAATCGACTTGGTTACATAGCATGGAGTTCGAGTAGTCAAGGTGGAGCCTTGGAAGTTTGACTAATCGAGCAGCGTAGAGTGTGGACAATCGGAATTTTGCAGGAGGATCATCAATATTGAAGCTACAAAAGAATTGTCCTCATCAATGCTGTGGAAGCGATTTGCTGGATGGAATTTGAGCCAAGGTAGAGATTGTTGGAATTTGAGACACAAATTCCTATTCTAATTATGTTTCTATTTTAGAATTGTATTCTGTTTCATAATTTCTTGTTTGACAAGTCTTGGCCTCTAAGAAATTGTAATTCCTGTCTAATAAAGAATTGGGTTTGAAACTCTATAAATAGGTACTTATGAGATTGAGAGAGATGTAGTCTAATGAGAGAGTTGATGGGTAGAGGTAGTATGAGTGAGGAAATAGACTCGTGGATTGGTGGTGTACTAATATCTCTACGAATCATAGTGGAATCTCTTCTCATCCATGGACGTAGGCCGGTTTTGGCCGAACCATTTATATCTTGTGTTTGTGTGTGATTGCTTTGTTGGCTTTTATCGGATCCTCATTGTTCGCGTGTTTCCGCTGCCCCAACAAGATGAATATTAGCAACTGAGTAGGACAGCAATGTAAGGGGAGGAGTTTGTTTGTTTGTTTTTTTATTTATTTTCTTAAACAGTGTCTCACTTCTAGTAATAGTTGTTGGCTTATTCATTATTTTATTATTGTGAAGCCATAAAAGATATAGAGAACCACAGCACAGAAAACCCCCTTCCCCAGTTCCCTCCCCTCTCCCCCAACTAGCGCTGCCAAACAATGCTTTTAGAATTTATAATCAATTTCAAGTTTCCAAATTAAATTATGCCATTAACTTTAAACAAATAATATGAGTACTTCAGATACAATTATTTGTAGTCAGACAATTCCAGTTCTAAATAAACTATATTTCACAAGCTAGGGCACAAGCAGACAGAGCCTAAATTAATTGAATTGAAGCTACTGTGCTTTAGGATTCACAATTAATTAAAACCAATTCTATATTTTCTAGATGGTATGACAGTCAAAACAAAATATGCATCCAATCGGAAGCTAGCCATACACAAAATTCAATTTGGATTTTATATTAAAAAAAAAAAAAAAAAAAAAAAACTCTTACTCAACAATGAAAAAAACACTAATAATTAAAACCAATTAAGATCATCTATGTATGTATGTATCTGGACTCGCTGTGTTACCTATGGGGACAACGATCTTCATAGCAGCGAAACTGGCCGTTGCCGTCACGATACAATACAAGCTGCTTGTGAAAGACAGTGAGGCCCAAAGGAGCATCTTCAGGGACATTGTTGGTGAGATAGAGTGGATACCATTCTTCAGTCCAATCATAGTCCGCCACAACCTTATCTTCACCCCTCACCTCTTCTTCTTCACTAGATGGACCCACAAGAACACTACTACCTTCATCTTCGTCAACTGACAACCCACCACCAATATTCTCTGCAACAGCATGACAATTTTTCATCAATTGTTTCTTTACTTGATGATGATAAGTCCTAATAAAGGGTTGTTGTTGTTGTTGTAGAGACACAAGTAGTGTTCTATTCCTAATTGTTGCTAATGATGATGATGTTGTTGTTGTTGTTGTTTTTGGACTAGTGATGAGGTATGGATGTGAGAAATGGAGGAGGGTCTTAGTCTTAGAATTAGAGAGACAAGCATCAGAGAGAAATGGTTGTAATAATGCCATCTTCAAACTGATGACGGTGGAAATGGAAGTGGAAGGGGAAGGGGAAGGGGAGAGAAATTAATTCATCGGGAGAATAAATAAATTATTCAAGGCATGAGAGAGAGAGAGAGAGAGAGAGAGAGAGAGAGAGAGATTGCTTGTTGGCTTTGTGCACTTATTGTGGCCACAATATTTTGCTTACAAGGAAATATTAGTCAAAATTGCGGAAAAAAACCACATGGTGATGTATGGTTGAGGGGATGACAGAAAAACGATGCATGGAGATTATTTCTTTTACAATTATTATTTTAAAAGAGAGCGTTCTAAGAATATTTACTCCAGTTCTTTCGAATTTTGACTATTTAAAAATATCACTTTAATTTTATTAAGAATCACGTAAATAACTTTTGGTTTTTTAATATATATATTTTTTGACTTTTTCCTTGCCGCTATATTTTTTTTTCTTCTTATACAATGAGCACTCACAAGTAGTGTTCTATTCTTAATTGTTGTTGATGTTGTTTTTGGAATAGTGATGATGTATGCATGTGAGAAATGGAGGAGGGTCTTTGTCTTATAATTAGAGAGGCAAGCATCAGAGAGAAATGGTTGTAATAAGGCCATCTTCAAACTGTTGATGGTGGAAGGGGAAGGGAAGGGGGAGAGAGATTAATTCGAGAGAATAAATAAAGGGGAAATTACATAAAGGACCCTTGAGATTTTTATCTTGTACACTAATATTGAAATAGGCACTATATATCAGGAAGGTCCAAGTTCACTAGTTAACCTTAGAAGATATAAATAAATTTACCCACATGGTGTACAAAACGGCTCCTTTAAAAAAAGAATATGAAAGGAAGTTTGTAAGTGTAAGTTACGTGTTTGCCCCTCCTCTTTATGTCTTTCTTCTCTTATTTTTATATGCATCTATACACACACAAGAACACAATCATACACATATATACATATATTTCTCTTTCTTTCCTCTCTTATTGACAAATTCATGGAGTCCAAACGAATCTTTCCAAAAAAATGTATTTACTGAGGATAAATGACAAAATCATGAAAATCTACTCTACATGGTATTTTGAATCCCAAACTGCCCATTGAAAATTAACTTCTTCTTCCCCAGCAATCCCAGAACAATTCCGGCCAAAAATCATGAAAAAAAAAAAAAAACTTACCTCATCTTCTTCACAGACGTTGTCGGAATGATGTTGACATAGAGAGATTGGTTATATATATATATATATATATATGTATGTCTTTGTAGGACTTAGTGGCAGATCAAGAGTGGAAGAGGAGGTCTGAGAGAGAGAGTCATCAGTGACGGATCAAGAGGAGGAACAACCGAAGTCGAAACATTAATGGGTCTCGTTGTCGGCGGTTGGTGGTCGGTGGTATGGAGAAACAGAGAGAACTCTGGCGATTTAGTAATAAAGATCCGGTGAATCGGTGATGAAACGGAGAGAACTCTGTTTCTCTAGCGACTGAAACAGTAAAACCGCAGAGAAACAGAGATCCAAATACGGTGAATCGGTGATGACAGTGGTGAAACAGAACTTTACCACTAACTCATCAGGGCTTGCATCCTATTCATGTGGCACATCCTTAATGAACCTTTTGCCTTTATTCGTGAAGGGTACTTTTGTCTTGGTGAAGGCGTAATTTAGTTAACATGAATGGACAATTTGGTCTTCTGAAAACAAAAAGGTTAGTTTTGTCCAATTTTTTTTTACCCAAACTGATTTTACGCAGAACTCACAAATGGAGATCATTGTGTAAGGTCAATAAAACAATAGGGGTAATTGACCAATATATCCTATCACCTTCTATTCACATGCACTAGATGAAAACTTGAGGGGTGCTTTGTATAATTTGCCCATAAAAAAATTATTCAAGGCACGAGAGAGAAAGTGATTGCTTGTTGGCTTTGTGCAATTATTGGGCCACAATATTTTGCTAACAAGGAAATTTTAGTCAAAATTGCTAAAAAAAACCACAAAGTGATGTATGGTTGAGGGGATGACAGAAAAACGATGCACGGAGAATATTTATTTTACAATTATTATTTTAAAAGAGGAATGCTAAACCCGATCGCTCTTTTAAGAGAATCCACACCAGCCTCTTTGGATTTTTGTAACGACCCGAACCCGTGGGTCTAAACCGTTAACTGGGTCCTTACCTGAACCCGAGGTCAACTAAGTCATACCTTCCATTTCCTGTGTCCATAACTGTCAGACAAGTCAATCCATTATCCAAAATGCTCTAAGACACAACCTTACAAAGAGGGTCAAATGTGCAAGTCAGTGAGGAAGGGTCGGTCGGTCTGACAGGCATAATCGTTCGGCTGACCTACCTGGTCGGTCGATCTGACAGGCATGGTCAGTCATTCTGACCTGTATGGTTGGTCGTTCTGAAAGTGGGGTTCAGCTGGCCGAAACAAGGCCTCTCACCATGGAACTCTCTAGAATGATCTCCAACTGTGCTCGTTATGAACCAAACCTATGCTGGATCTATTATGTGATCAAATTCTAAATTCATGGCAATAGAACATGACATAATACAGTTGAAAGGTATTTATAATTGGTCGGAATATAACTTCATAACCCATTCATCATGAAATAATTACATAGTCTCATTTTACTTCAAAATATGGCCTTAAGGCCTTACATGAATCCAAATACTTGAGAAGTTTCAATAAATACATGTTCCTTTACATTATAAACATTTTCATCGAAATATCAATTTCTAAAGAATTAAATACAACAATGAAGCCTCCATGACCAAAATTTACATAGCTTTAATATAAATAAAATGAAACGAATTTCTAACTACATCAATGTCCATGGATGCACATCATTTACTAGCTCGTCTCCAAATTCCTGAAAAGTGTTAATGATAATAGGGTGAGCTCAACAGCTCAATAGAAAAAGCCTAAAGTACATTCTTAAAAATCTCGTGAGCCAGAACCAAAGAAGAGGAGATCATGAAAAGAGATCATGGGAATACAAGCCATAACATCGTACATGAATTTCACAAATTCGCAAACCATTTCATCACGCATGAAATGCAAATACCCCCTTCTTCCTTTCTAACCCAAACCTCACCAAAACCTTCACAACCATTAACTCATTTACGCCACATCCTATATTCCATCCAACTTTCCCACATCATATTTTCTATTTCTCAAACCCATCCCCCATGACAAGTATATGAAAAATCATACAATTACTTATCAAAATATCACTCACAAAATGTATATCAAAATCATCACATTATGATATCTAAAACATGAAATTAACCACAAAATTCATGCTTTAACATCTCATCATGTAACAATGTCATGCTTTACACAATTAGCATATATCATCATATTTACATGTAAAGAACACATAGGAAACTTACTAAAACCATAGGAATTCGTAGTTTAGACTTCCCCTACCTCAAGATAGCAACCCAAGCTCCAAGCTCCAAACTCAAATCCCACCAAAAGCTTGCAATATCGGTACCAAAACGTAACCCTTGTAATGATCTATAATTTGCCAACTCCGGCTTAAACCAAATATTCTTCTAGCATGAAGAAATTCTATAGAGAAGGAAGAGAGTAATATAGAAAGAGAAAGAAAATAGAGAGAGAGATCATGTTTGTCGAAAAATGAAGGGGCAGAAAAGAATGGGTCAAAATGAAGCTACCCTCTTGGATTCTAGAATTCTCTAGGTTGGTCCATGAAGTCAAAATGACAAAAATGCCCCTTAAACTTTTTTATAACTTTAACCATGCCCTAAAATATCACCTTCCATTTAATACCACTAATACAACATACATACATGAATATAAACACGCACACACATACACATGTGAAATGCCGATGACACCCCTCCCTTAAGATGAGAAAACCGAGAGAAGTCCCGACTTCTGAAAAATTCTAAAAATGAAATCGTCATTTCTACTTGACTTAAAATGATTAAAAATACACTTCTAAAACCCTCGGCTCAAAAAATGACAAAAATGCCCATCGGGGCCCACATGGCACGCAAAATGAGGTAAGGATTAAAATAATCTAGAAAAATCAAATAAATTCCAGAAAATAAAAAATAGGAAAAATCGGTAACATTTTAATCTTCCCAACTTTAAAAGATTTCGTCCCTGAAATCAACCCACCTTATAAGAGAAAGACGAAATGATACAAAAATGGAGTACGTCTCCGAGTACCCTACGCAACACGTCATACCTCAAAATCTCAACACGAAAAATTCCACGTTCCATGTTACTCGCAACACTACTGAACAGTGACCACAGTCACATGTGACCTTTTTCCCATGACAACCAACTGAACGAAAAAAAAAACATCGCAGTGCCAAACAAAACTCTCTACCGCCACATGCATGCACATGAGGCACAAGCCCCCAACCAACTCCGTGACTCCACTGAGTCCTGACCACTGAGAACCATTAGAATTGCCATCTTTCTAACTATAACATACCACTAGTCGATACTAAATCCACAAATGACGACTTCAGTCAACCCACACGACAACACGTATCACAAAAAGAATCCTTCAATCCAAGTCACCACGACACTCAACCATCTACTTCCGCACGTGAGATCAAGGGAAACACTTAACCCTGGTCAAAATCAACCCAATTAATAAAATTGCACTAACGCTATCCACACGAGACATTCCACCAGAAAGCTGTTGGATTCCATATACAGTAGGTCCAACCAGCAGCGCCTCACACAATCCGTGCAAAACGTCTTAAGGCCCACAAAACAGTGGTCACAAAATCGCTCAACGAGCCAACACGCGAGCTCAACCTGCGATCCCAACGAAACTCTTAAAACCATCTCTGACAACTACTGCCTTCAATAACTGCATCATAGCTGAACACCCACAATTGAAATCAAGAGAACCATCCGACCTATCAAATGTACCATCAGGTACTCGGGAAAACAACCCATCAACATAGGTCAAGGATCAACTGATCCAACAACTGAAACTCCTTAGACACTTAGTCCCATACCGAGTACACCACCATCCACGATAAGTCATCTGAACACATACAAAGACTACCATCAATCCCAAGCGAGACTCATTCTAAAATGGGATTGTACTACTACACGTACGCAATGCATAACACCGT